GCAAACCAGTATAAACAGCCTTTAAAATATGCCATTGAGAACATAAAATACATGATTGAGAACATGTAAAAGCTGTTTTCAGTATTCCACTGAATAATCTGTGTTCTGAGAGATCAAATTTCAGTTAGGTCTTTTTGAAAGCAGATTTCAAGAGATATTTGCCATAAAGTAGTTGCCATGCTGATACATGTCAGGGCTGAGAGTCCTGCGCAAGGGCTAACAAATGGTGATATAATTGATTTGTAAAAACTCCTGAGGTTTTTAATTGGTTAGATGAAGAAACTGAAATTTGATCCAAAAATATAAGTGGTAGGTCTCTGTTTCATGATTGCAAAACTAGTTGAATATGAATATATTTCTTCCAAAAAATTCTGTTCGTGACTTGGGTATAATCCTTGAGCTGGTAATGGTATTTAGGAAGCCCCAGCTTTGATTTGGTAGCCACCGTGTGCCTATTCCTGGAAAAGACAGTTTTGCTATATTTTTCAAGCTGAGACAGGTAGTTAGATCCGCTGTGTACTGCTCTGGGCTCCTTCAGGAAAAAGCACAATATAAAGATAGCAGTAATTGTAGTGCAATAGAAAATATATTAGTGGAGTAATATACTGGTAATATATTAGTGAATGATGATAATGGAGAATCAGCAATGAAGTTTATGAAAAAAAATGTGTGACATTTTGAAAGAAATCTATCATTTTTGTGGAAATGATAGATTTTTCTGAAAGGGTGAGATGGAGGAGGAGGAGGAGGGATGTAGGAGCTGCTTGGATATAGGGAGTCACCTTACAATCATAATTGGGACTGGGAAATTGGTGTGGTGTAAAGCAAGAATCACATAACTGCACTGACTTAAAATGGAAAACCTGGCACTCCCATTGTGTTCATTAATTGAGAATTACAGGTCATTAAGTGAGAACTCACCCCAGTCCAAGCCATTTGGAGGTCCCTCCCAGCTCTAAGCCTCAGTAAGAGTGCCAGCCCACCCCAGCCCAATCTCAGTTGCCTTCACACCCTGCACTTTGAGACCTTGCCACACTCTGTGCTCTGCTGTCCCCTCTCACCTTTGCTATCATATTCTTACTCCTGCTGCTGAGGTTTGCCTGGTCTGGTTGCTGGACTGTATGGAACTGGCTTTGAGCAGCAAAAAAAAAAATAAAAATGCACAAAGTAGCTTAAAGGAGCCACAGCCTGCCAAACGTCCCTTTGTCCCATGCTCCTGGGTCCTATGAGGCTAGCTTTGCAGAGCAAAAGGTTTTTTTAAAAAGCACAAAACAGCCCCTTTAAGGTGTTATTATGGAGAGAAAATTTGGAGATAGATGCCCTTGCATGTTTTTTGGAAATTGCAGAGGAAAGACAGGATATTAAAGTATAAAATAATTTTATTTTATATTTTATATATTTATACATTTTAAAATAATGTTTTAAAAAATATTTTACTCTAAATATTTTTCAAAAGAATGTAGGAGACATAAATCACACTTAGATTAGGCTGTTGGCATAATCGTAGCGGGAAACTATGGGAACTTGGAATTGAAAGTTAATCAGTAGTGCTTACTATCTGCAGAGATTTAAGCACTTTAAGGTAATTTCTGTAAATGTGTTTTCAAAAATATTGCTTTGGTTTAGCAGAAATATGATCTGGACATCACTGTAATATATGCTAGTGAAATTTCAGCTATTCCATAAAAAAGAAAGAATTTAAGGAAGTTTTCCCTTGAGTTTTAAAAATGTTATCCATCCCAAAGATGGAAAGATGGTTAAAAAAAAATGAAACAAATTAGCATGATAACTCTATCATTTTAATTACAATTGCAATCATTTTAATTACAAAAAAACATTTACAGTATTTTGCAGTATTCATGTGCCAAGATTTCCAGTACCAAACTTACATAATTTCATTCCAAGCCAGGACTATTTTAATTCATCTTCTCTTTTAGAAATGTATGGGCTATTTCAGTTAATAGCTTTAGAATCAATAAATTTAGAGATAGAAAGTATTAAAAGTATTTAGTCCAACCAGCTATCATAGTATTTCCACTATGATATTCTTTTGGATGTGTTGAACTATAACCTCTGTCATACCTAGCCAGCTTGGTCTGCTTAAGGACCATCAGTTTGAAGAACCCCAGTTTACTAGTTCGCATCTGATAAAACCAAGTGCCTAACATAAAATTGCCATCACATAAATTAATACGTTTAATTTAGTTTCATGAAACATGCAGTTATAGATTAATGCACACATTACTAATTAAATTCAATTAAATAAATTATAGGCAGCAGAAATGTATATTCAATTTTGATAACTACCTGAATTTATAGTCAATGTTAGATGTGAGCCACATCCAAGAAACACATGTATGATTGATAAATTACCTTGTAACACATATATGCTTTTTTCCATTCATTTTGAAGATTTTTTCCATTAGCAAAATGTCCGCCATTATAAAGAATCAATTCTGATCAGCTTTGAGGAAACAATTTGGGAAAAATCATTGATGCCAGTAGTCTAACTTATATGCTAAACTTTAACAATGTGTTGCATAAAAATAATAAAGTGGTGACAGCTACTCAGCCAATTCAGAACCACATTCAAAGAATCTGTAGCAGCGTATTCTAAAATTGTTAAGCTGTTTATTTCCAATTTCAATTGCTTATGGTTTCTTGTCATAGTAATATTTGTTCTAATTTCAGAATGATCATTGCCTCAATGAGCACAAAATCGTCCACTTTTTTCCTTCTGTTCAATCATGTCTGATTCTTGGAGAGAGTCTGGACAAGTTCTTATAGTTTTCTTGGCAAGGTTTTCCAGAAGTGGTTTGCCAGGGCTGAGAGAGTGTGACTGCCCCAAGGTCACCCAACTGGCTTTGTGCTGATTTCTAGCCTAACGCCTTAACCACAACACCAAACTGTCTCTTTTCCTCCACTTTACAGAATCATAATTGTCATTGTAGTTGACTATGTAGAAACATTCAAAGCATTGCTCTGAAAAGCATGTTGTTGTGAGTTTAACATTTTTCTCCTTGAAGCATGAAAGAAGACAGGTCTTCTAAAAGACTTGGCATAACTGCTTAGAAGGCTTTCCCAGATATTTGTTTTGTGCACATGCACACCAAGACTTCTGTTAAGGTTGCAATGTAATGAAATGAAGAAACATATCATAGCAATTAGGTAAAGCCTTTGACATCTGAGTAGTGACCTTCCAAAGTATGTGGCCGCTTTAATACTTTTAGGAGAGATGTGTTTACACAGCCTTAATTTTTAATGAGAAGATCCTAACAATTCCAATGTCCTGTTTTCTTATGAAGTGCAAACTTTAGTATAACCTTCTCTGAATACTAGAGCTTAACACACCAACTGTGTAAATAATTATCTTCTCTTCAGTTTCACTGCAAGATATAACAATGAGAAAAGCTTTCCGAAGTTCCACAACTCAAGATCAACAGCTCTTTGACCGCAAGAGTCTTCCAATCCCTTTGCAGGAGACTTACAATACATGTGAACAGCCACCACCACTCAACATCCTTACCCCTTACAGGTTATCATTTCAAAAATCTATATCCTATGTTTATATTATGCATTTATTATTTACTGGGATAATAATTTTCAAAAATCTGTAACTGAATTCAAGGATTTCATTTGAGATCCCAATTCTTTTTCATCAAAAGCCATACAGCTGATTCTATGCAACTTAAATTTCACAAATTATTAGAGCAACGGATAATTCTAAGGTTACATAATTGAGTATCTAGATTACCTGCCTTGTACAGTATTTGCCAATGTCTAGGGAACTTTATTTTCCCAGTTCTTCCTGTCTTACTAGGAAATATTAAGGATTTAATTTGGAACTTTCTACAAGAAAAGCACGTGCAGCAAGCTGTAATGTACAAACATCATGTCACACTTAAGCTTGTACAGAGGTTGGATCAAAGTCCTTTTATATATTTATTTATTTATTTATTTATTGGATTTTTATCCTGCCTTTATTACTTTATAAATCGCTTAAGGCAGCAAACATACCTAATACTCCTTCCTCTTATTTTCCTCACAACAACAACTCTGTGAAGTGGGCTGGACAGAGAGAGTGACTGGTCCAAAGTCACCCAGCCAGTTTTCTTGCCTGAGGTGGGACTAGAACTCACCAACTCCTGGTTTCTAGGCCAGCACTTAACCTCTAGGCCAAGCTGTCTTGTTATGTACACAGAATGTTCCTTTCAGCAACTAAAGAGTCTTGTAGTCAAGTCTAGCCCAGACTATTGCTAAAGTGTTTTGTTTGTAATGTTCTGAAGAAGAGAACCTGTTTCTGGCATTAAAGGGCATAAAATATTTGATTGGTTTGCCCCTGAGCATCTGCTGAGTGCATTTTCTTCATTATGAAGCATGTGGTTCCATTCTCAAGCTCTTTTTTTCAACCCATCTGATTAGAACTTTGCAACCAAAATAACCTTTCAAACAAATTATTTACTAAGAAATTATATCATTAATTTCTATTATATTCACCTTTTGCTTATATCTTTCATATAGGGTTGTATAGATTAACAGATTGTTAAGTTAGTGCATAAAGTTCTGCAATGAGCTTAGCACTCAAGTTCCTTTTCAAAATCCATGAAACAAATAATAAAATTTAAATGGGCATTACATAATGCATTTTACATGGTCTTTAAATATTTAGACATACAATGAAACATTTGCTATGATTTGTGTATTCAATAATTTAAAATTTGGGTCCACTTGTTATTGCCCCCAGATATGGTTATCTATTGAATTAACATCATTAATTTTAATTTCTGCCATTCCTTCAACGTGTGCTTTATAGATGAGTGTCAGTTATTTTCCTTGGAAATTAAAATGCACTTTTTCCCCTGTTTGTGTATGTAGGTATGCTCTGCTTAAGACTTTATCCTGCTAGAAATGTATTCTTCTTTTGGAGGTGATGTTATAATCTCAGATGTTATCATTCAATCTGTATTTAATAACATTTTACAATGTTGCTTTGTCTTTAGAGATGATGGAAAAGAGGGTTTAAAATTTTACACGAATCCTTCATATTTCTTTGATCTATGGAAAGAAAAGATGTTACAAGATACAGAAGATAAAAGAAAGGAAAAGAGAAAACAGAAGGTAAAAGATACTGCTTTTGACCAAAGATACAATGAAACAAAAGTGGCCCCATTAAGGCAGCCATTAAAATCATGTAATTTCCTAAACATAATAAAGCTTATTTAAATAATAAGAACCAGCAAAAATAGTAGAAATGCCTTCTGGAAAATCAAAAATTCATATAAAAAATGGGGAAGAGATGCAAATTAGATAAAAAAGAATCAATCGTCATTCCATCAGTTCAGGCCTGTGATATATTTACTTCTGTCAGGTAGAAGTCCCCCCCCCCCCCGTATGATAAATTCTATAATGGGAAATAGAATGGATTGAACTTTGGTTCCTAGCAATGAAAATTATGAACTTGCTGATTTTGGCTTGTATAAAGAAGGATTTTCCCTGTTGTTAACAGAGTTAGCATAGTGATTCAAACTTATTTTTATAATCACGAGCAAAAGTCTTTCTGCAAAGTAGTAAAAATAAATATTGCTAGCCTATGAATGCTGGTACATAGATACTGAGCCTTGTGGAACAGAATAAATTATCTTCCTTAGTTTTAGGTTATCTCTTGCCTTTTAGTCTCAAGTGGTATATCTGATCTAGATTTGCTTATAAGGCAACTTACAATGGATGTAAAAAGCAGTAGATATAGTAACATTTGCAACATGTTTTATGCAGTTAGAAATTCATAAACACAAGGGTTTTCACTCAGACTCCTATCCCTATCCTTCGCCTGGGTGTGCTATAAGGAAAGTGTGGGAAGATCTCCCTAATGGAATATTTGTGTCATTGTGATGATGGTCGAGTCAAAATTATTGAACACATTCTCTTCTACTGTAATTATTACCAAGACATTTGTATTACATTTATCTACCCATTACTTTTATGGCTGACAGCCTGTACAGATTAATTTTACATCCATTTATTGCTTCCAGAAAACAGTTGTTATTGCATTCAAATAAGTTCACGTAAGTTCTATGTGACAGCATATAAAACATGGCAGGACCCTTAGCCAGGAGATGTTAATTGATAAAAGTATTTTGTATACATATTTTCATCTTAGTTGCTTGTTAATAAAGATTCAGTTTTTGTAGAAATGCATAATATTTTAATTTGGTTAGATTTTTATTTCAGGATATTTTAGGTCATGTAAGTTTATAAATTTATACTTTCTAGCTTTGTAGATTTTATTTTCGGAGGCATTTTATAACACCAACCTTATAGCATCTCGTAGATCTTAAACTCATTAGTTCATAATGTTCAGTTATAGTCATTATACCTATAGTCAACTTATAGGTATTTTATAATAAATATAATACTAGAGATCGCCTTTTTGTGTTATATCCAATAATTTCAAGAAACTGCCACAGAGCCATTAGTAAACAGTCCAAAGAATCCCTAAGAGCGCCACCACCCACCCAGACAGGCAAGACACCAGAATATAAACAGACAGCAAACAGACTCCAGACTAAGCACTGATGATATTACCTAGTTAGGGTAATGAAACGTATGCAAGGAAACAAGCAAGCTCAGAGAGCACCAAGGACCCCTCATTTCAACTCTGAGCTACAAATATTCTCCTTCATTGGTACAATAATTCCATGATTACTAAAGTACATTGTTTATTACTTACATTTTATACTGCTGAATGATGAAAATGTGAAGGAATTATCACGGACAATTTAAATGTTTCAATGTTATATCCTTCTTGTAATTAAAAGAAAACATATGTTTCTGGCGGATTCTTTTATTTTCTGAGCAGAACTCTTTCAGTGTCAGGTTTCCTATGTTTTTTTAATAGCAGAAGAATCTCGATCGTCCTCATGAACCAGAAAAAGTGCCACGGGCTCCTCACGACAGGCGCAGAGAATGGCAGAAGTTAGCCCAGGGAGCAGAACTCGCGGACGATGATGCCAGCCTTTTACATAAGCATATTGAAATTGCTAATGGCCCTGCCTCACATTTTGAGACCAGGTTCGTTTTTGTTTTTTTAACTCAAAGTTTGAAACTAGCTCATTAAGGTTGTTTGTATGAATTTCAAGCTAGCTGTCATCCTTACGTTCTATAATTAGGGGTAATTTACTAGAAGCGCCCATAATTTGACATTGCTGTAATAGATCATTGCTGTATGCCATGCCACCTTACACTCATGACTGGACTTGTAATTTTTTTCCCCATATTCTCCATAGAGGGCTTTTGAATGCTTTACTCTCCAGACAATCCTCTCCTGTTCTTATATGTGTATGTGTGTATAATAGCAGTGATGATGATGATTTGCTATTTGCTTTGGAGTTAGCAAAACTGAACTTACAATTTCTGTTCCTGCATTCAGTGCACATCTTCAGGGTTCACAGTTTATGACAATTACAAAACAAGGTGTCAGGTGTGTATATTTCGTTATCATGTGTTAAGTTTCCTTATTGACCTTCTCTTACTAACTGTTTTATGTCCTCTTCCTCCATAAGTATTGAAATAGTGGGCTAATTTTCCTTTGGAGAGAAATGTTTTTCTTGCAACGGCAATGAAATCAGAGACTAAAATGAATTTAACATATGTACATATGGATTTATTTCTGTTCAGACCGCAGGCATATGTGGAACACATGGATGGACCCTATTCTCTTTCTGCATTACCATACAGCCAAATGAATGAACTTCTTAACAGGGCAGAAGAGCGTGTTTTAGTAAGACCACATGAACCTCCCCCACCCCCACCAATGCATGGAGGAGGAGATATGAAACCCATTCCACCCTGTGTTAGGTAAGAAGCACTTAAAATGAAATGTCAGAGTGCCTTGGCAATAGCTGACACTGACAGACTATAAGTTGTAGATACAAAATAAGTAAGTAAGAAAACAAAAATCCGTGAAATACCTATTTTCTATTTGCTAAGTCTGAGTACTTTGTTCTTAGAGGTTTTCCTATGCATTTATTTAATAAATAGACTTATTGCCATTAATGATGAGTCAGTTCAACATTTATAGTCATCAAAATGGAAGTAATAAAATAATATAAAAGTCTAGAAAGCGACATATTCAGCTTAAAACTAAAAAGAGGAGGAAAAATCTGAAATCCACATACATGTAGTCCTTGTTTAGTCCTTGTGTACTGTCTCATATAGGAACTGTTAGCAATTACAGTGATGATGAAAAAGTAACTTTGCGACCAATCTTTGCATTTATGTCCTTTGTAGGTCTGTAAGCAAAAGAAAGTTGAATCACGATTGCAAGCACAGTCACCATTTCATTTAGGGACTGCTTCATTTAACAGCCAAGTTGCCAGTTCCTATTGTCACTACACAAAGCCTACCTGTAGAGCGTATCATAGTAATTGGAACAATTAGCTACCATTATGTAAATCCCTTTCATTAGGCTATGCTGTCCAAGAAAAGCTATACCTAGTAGAATTGTGCAGTGATGCAGATTCTAAAGGTAAAAATGATTTGGTCCATGCATTGGTAGCAGACTGCAATTGTCAGCATCTCCTTCAATTAGACTCACCTTTTCCTAGGATTGCTCAGTTGTTCAGCCTTTTTAAACAGTTGCTGAGGAGTGACATGGATGTCCATGTGTCCTTCTAAGCACCTTTTATTTTTCAAATCTAAATTGCTCTTACGGCATACCAAATGAAAATACAGATTGTAACCAACCAGTAACATAGTTAAGGCAACAGACTAAGATTGGGAAGATTTAGATTCAAGTCTGTCCCCAGCCATGAAATTTGCTGGCTGACTCTGAGCCACCACTATCTTTCAGCTTTGGGGAAAATATAGAGGAAAATGTACATTTTCTTCAGTTCCTGGAGGAAAGATGTTATATAAAGCTAGCAATAAACAAACAAACAAACAAACAAATAAGATTGCTTGATTTCCAGTAATAATGATGACTCTAGGAACACTTCAAACCATGTACCATTCTAATAAATGTAAGAATAAGGGCCAATGTTTTGGGCCCCATTTCTGGGAGGAAGCTCTGAGGCCTGCAAAAATAATGTTGGCTCTGCCATTTTTACACCTGCTGTAAAATCTACCAAAATCTAAAGTCTACTCCAAATTCTACTTCAGTCTGAGGTGTAGAGAGTGACCATAAGGAAGAAGGACAGTGTTTCACACTCCTGCTGTGGAGGACTCTCAAAAGAGAAACTTGCCTCCCTTTGAATAATTTATTCTTAATGCCAGGCATTCATCATCTGGGCTCTTAAACATTTTAATACATTTTATCATCATCTTAAGCAATGCATTGTCAGTTATTTAATTATTGTAACAAAATGTTCTCTACTTTGACAGATTTGACTGCTTAGTGCTATGTTATAATAGATACACTGATTGAATTCTAGTCTCATTTTCACATGCTTTTTCTTTATTAAATTCCATATTTATTATTTTATTATTTTTCTTATTATTTTTATTTCTGTTATATGGTGTTTTTATATCCTTGAGTCGCCAGGTGAGAGTAGGCGGCAATATAAATTTTCTAAAGTAAAATAAAATAAAATAAATATTGTCAAGCAAACCATAATTATGTGACATCTCTGGAAAAAAATACAAATAAATATATCATTTCTTTTCAGATTAACACTATAACTATTGGTTATACAATTTCAGAAATTAAATGTTAAACAATATGTGTTAGATATGGGAACACTGGGAACCGGCTCAAGTATGACTGATTTGCACATTCAAAATATTTGCACGTTCTGAAATTATTATTGATACCTAGAATGTGATTACAGCGAATTTCCATTCTTTTAATTGTACTCATTTTCAGTATTTTTTTTTATCCCAGCTCTACTGCAGCTTTGACAGAAAATCGCCCTCAGTCACCTGCTGCTGGCAGAACTCAAGTCTTTGTGAGTCCCACTCCTCCCCCGCCTCCTCCCCCCCTTCCATCTGCTCTATCTACTTCTTCATTAAGATCGGCAATGACTTCCACACCTCCCCCTCCAGTGCCACCTCCTCCCCCTCCTCCCACCACTGCTTTACAACCTCCAGCTGTCCCTCCACCCCCTGCACCCCTACAGATTGCTCCCGGAGTTCTTCATCCAGCTCCACCTCCCATAGCCCCTCCCTTAGCGCAACCCTCTCCTCCCATCACTAGAATTGCCCAAGTCTGTGAGCCTGTTCCAGTTCCGCCAAGTGAAATGCAAGGACTCCCTCCGCCACCGCCTCCTCCTCCACTGCCCCCTCCTGGTATTCGTCCCTCGTCACCAGTTTCAACTCTTTCTCACCCGCCCAGCTCTACTGTCCCAGGCCCTCACCTTCCCATATTGCCTCCATCCCCACCATCCCAAGTCACTCCTGTTCCTGAACCCAAACGGCACCCATCAACACTACCCGTCATCAGTGATGCCAGAAGTGTCCTCCTTGAAGCAATACGAAAAGGTACTAGCTATCTGTGGATCCATTAGCAGGGCTGCCCACTTGATGAAGTATATATTCTTTTTGCAGGTTTAATGTTTTTTGTTTTTTGTTTAAAAAAAACTATGTGTACTTAGCGTAGAGTAAGCATGTCATCTTAAGCAAATTGCTATATGGATTTTTTTTTAAAAAAAACTTGACTTGATTCTAGATACTGTAGTTATTTATCCTTGGATGGAGTTCATAATAGCTCTACATGAATGTTAGCAAAAAGCGTTCATGCACAGTGCAATGTTGAGGACATAGTTTGTGAAAGAGTCCCAGAAGCATATTATATATAGTATTAAGTTTTGACAACGACAAAAACCAGTATATAATTGATGCATACCAAGCAGCTGCTCTCAGCTTTTTCTTTCTGTTGTTCACAAGATTTTATTTTTCTAAAAAAAAAAAAAAAAGCCAGTTATATTATTGTGCTTTGTTATTTGGTTGAAATCATTAGCACAGTTGACAGACTAGCTTAATTTCTCAGTACTGTTTTATTAACTTAAATAATTGAGAGATAAGGAGTGGATAACTAGATAAAACTATATTCTGATTTATATTTTAAACTATTTGAAATTCAGGAATCTTGATCAGAATTGGGTTTGTTTTCTAATAAACATGGTATATTCTTGGTTTTGAAAGAACCAGAAAGTTTGGGCCTGTTCTAAGGCTATAATTTATACGGCATTTTTCCCCCAAAATATTTTACAGCCAAGAAGTGAATATTTATCAAGGAAGCTTTTGAAATATCTTTTGTTATTAAATTTCTATAAAAATAATCCATATCCATTATCTTACTTTATCTAACCACTTTGCTGTAATTTGCTTCCCATGCAACTGTGCTGCTTCACTTTTAAATCAGCAGCACCCAGACCTTGGAACATTTTGTATAGCAGCAGTTTGCATTAATAATCAATTGGTATATTCTTAATTGAAAATATTAATATTCTACTTTAAAGTTTATGAAGGTTATTACTGTAATGATCCTATTTTTGTAATTGCATTTTACATTCATACATTTCTGTCCATAGTTAAAGAATAACTTAACAATTTCCTTCTTAATTTCTTCTCCCTTCTTTATCGAACTAGTTTGTATGTCCCAAACAAGATGCCTAATGGTACAAAGTACACAGCATAGTGCCTGAGGCTGGTTCCCTCTCCAGCTCGATGCTTTACTTAGTTGGATCTGATTATTTTTATTCTTGCCATTTAAAATAAATAAATAGATTTGGGAAGCTAGCATGTTGTAAAGCAAAGCACAACACCAGCCTCAGGCATTTCTGCACTATCAACAGTGCCTCTGTTGCACCTTTGAGGCAGATTCAGAAAATAAAATAATGAGGGGCTGAAATTCAGTATTTTCTTTGGGAGTGTGCCCATCATCTCAGAAAAACAACAAGAAAAGTTGAAGTGTTAAAAGAACATCTTAAGAAGCTAAAAGGATAATAGAGAACAATTGTACCTGATTTTTTTTTCCAGTAAATGCTTTGTGATCATCCATACCAACCATGAGGGGCATTTTTTTTAGAGGACTTACAATATGATGTCAAAATAATATATAAGCCTGCTGACACAAGCAAAAAAAATGGGGACCCCTTAAATAACAGATGGTTTTGGTCACCCACAAGAGACTGGATAATATGTAAAATTGTTTGACAGCCTAAAAAAAAAAAATCTATTTCCAAGAATGTTTTTGAGGACGTGTACTGCCCAGAGGCATTTGTAGAAAATGACTGTATGAATGGCTCAGTTGTTGGGAAGTTGCCATCTTTGTCTTTTTGTTTTGTTGTTGTTGTTGTTAGGAAAAAAGAGAAAGGTAAGGTGACAGGATCAACTTTTAAAAGTTTGTCTTCTACTAAACAGGTGTTTTATGACTGAGATTATCTCATTGGTAGCCATTTGTTAAAAGTGCCCATGATGTGTTCTCAGAGGTCTGAGAATTATCTGAACCAGAAAAAATTAGGTACTTCTAAGTAAGCGATAAAAGTGCATACTGTTAATTGAAGATTCTTATGGAAAACAAATTAGTCCATGTTGTTATGCCGAATATAGATGGCTTGCAAAATACATGTTAGTTATTTATAATTTTTTGGTGATATTCTAGGTATTCAGTTGCGTAAGGTTGAAGAGCAACGTGAACAAGAAGCTAAACACGAGCGTGTCGAAAATGATGTCGCCACCATATTGTCTCGCCGCATTGCTGTGGAATACAGTGATTCAGAAGATGATTCAGAATTTGATGAAGTTGACTGGTTGGAGTAAAATGATTATATGCTACAAAACTGAATGCTAGTGTCCATTGTGGTGCTTGTTCTTTGAAAATGTTTGGTCATTTCTAGTGTTTTTGTATTTTCTTTATATAATCTATGTTTTTCTACTTTTTATTTCAAAAAATGTTGGCACATCTTTGGAACTAAATGTTTTACAGTGAGACAGTTCTTTAAAAAGAGCACCATTTTGCTCCAGTAGACCATTAAGTATTAAGCATGGGCAAATGTTGATAGAGTAGCAGACTACATTTTCTGGCATTTAACTGTGCACTTCGTGAATTTTAAGTTATGAAGGCAATTAAGTCTGAAGTTTCAAGGGCAACTGCATGTACTAATAAGCTTTATTATATTACATTGCTAATGCTGAAAAACCTGGAAGAAAAGGGTGTTCATCCATTCGGCACTGCAATCCAAACATTTCAATGGACCTTGAGTATAATATGAACTTGAAGGATTTACACCCTTGTGCAACCCACTGCCTTGATTACATCTGTACAGGACTTGTAGTTTTAGCAGCACTGGAATACTGAAAGAAAAGGGAAAATGGATTTTGGGGGAAATTTATTGTTTTTTTTATTAAAGAATTATGGCCTTATTTGAATGCTTTGGCAATTTTCTTTCTTTTTAACCTGTTGTGATATTTTCCCTGCTTAAAATTTTGATTTTTCTCCCCTTGTGAAACATCTGACTTAGTCATTCTGTGTAATTTATGTAACTGTTAAAAATAACCGTTCAGTTTAAAATAAATGGTTTGTTTTAAATGTTCCTGGTTGTTGCTTTTTGACATAGAGTAACTCATAACATTCAAGACCATATTGTATGTTAAATAATAATGTCTAAACTCTACGGTGATTTTACATGTATAGAAAACTTTTTCACTCATTGAAGAATTCTAACAAGTTACCTATTTTTCTTGGCCATGTAGGATACATCAGAGCAGGAACTTTTTTGGCCTTAAAATACACATGCAGTTGGTGATGGCTGGGGACCATATATACAGACACTGTGCCACTTCTGCGTAGAGAGCACTGGAGAAACAAAATTAAAATGGCTTCTTCTATTATTTTATAGGCAGCTGAACCTGATTTTTTTCCCTATTACTATTTTCATAAGCAGAGAGCCAGTTTGGTGTAATGATCAAGGTAACAGGCTAGAGACCATGAGTTCTATTCTCAGGCATAAAGCCTGTAGGGCAACATTGGCCAGTCATTCTCTCTCCAACCTCAGTAGCAAAAGCAACTCACTTCTGAAAAATCATGCCAAGAAACTGCAGGGACTTGTCCAGGCAGTTACCAAGAGTCAATGCTGACATAAAGGAACTAAAAAAAAAAAATCTGTAGGGAGGAGACAAGTGAAAAAAAATAATAATTGTGCCGTCAAAACTTAAAACTCTGTGATTTAGCTGATGTTGCATACCACGTCTGAATGCAAGTACAAATGCAAAGACCAATTTTAATGTTACACTATCACAATGCATAATCCATCATTTCTTTATCGCCATGGTTTAACGGACATCTAGGAAACAATCAAAATTATTAAGGGAAAGGGACAGAATTTCTTACCGCGTTCCATTCTCCCTTCCATCAACATTGGTAAAAATTATTTTGAGGGAAGGGACTTGCATAGATGACTTCCTTTACATTCCATCTTCAACACAGTTGAACTTTTGGCAGCCCACCAAATAGCTACTTGCTGGACTGTGAAGAGTCTGATTAAAGTGTGGTAAAGGACTCCTTGCACAGCCTATTCCCCAGCATAATTAAGGCAGTGACAAAGGGACGTGGAAAAACAATGTTCAAAGCTACAGAGAAGACCATGAGAGCTTCATGAAGTCCACAAAACATAGGTTACAAATTCCTATTCTATACACCAGTGATTCTCAACTTCAGCAACAGTAAGACGTGTGGACTTCAACTCTCAGAATTCCCCATGCTGACTATAGACTAAAGAGGGGTGGGAAATCTGTGACCTTATATGTGGCGTTGGACTCCAAATACTGCTTACCATCTGTCCCAAGCATCACAATCAATGGAAGCTACAGTATATCAACCTTAGGAGATGTAATATATCAGATACCTCAGGAGAAACCCACACTCTTCTTGAAGTAAATAACTAATATTAGTGTTAATCTCTTCTTCAAGATTCCAGAAGTACTTAATACTGAAAAAGTTTTAGTTCATATTTTAAACGCATATATGTTTACATCTTCAGTTTGATATTATGTATTATTGATATACATAAATAATGCCCCCGAAAAGCCTACATGTATCTGCCTTTACTGTTATTTTTGCTTGCAGTGGAGCTGTAGTAGTTTTGAATCCAGTAAAATATAATAAGTTACAAGTATGGATTATATAAGTAGAAATTTCTGTTACTAAAAAAAATAAAGTTGAGGGAGATTTTTAAATTGGTTTTGATCTCATGCGATTGATTCCAGAAAGTTACTTGGTCCTTTGGTATTTACACTTTATTATATCAAGGGACTCCATCTTTGTTTCCATTTTTAAAAATCTGTGTGGCACATACATTTAAATCAAGCATAGGAAACTTGCGTTCCCAAGTCCAGAATGTGATTGTCAGGCTAATTTCAAAGTTCCTGTTCAAGAGATCAGTTTAGATCCATTGTAAGAACTACTTGACCCTTCCTGGCAGTCTGGAAGGGTTACTGGAAAAGATTCCCCAGAGATAGATTGTTTCTTTAGAGAGAAAATTGGTATTTTCACCGACTTTATGTTCTGTTTCTCTAGCTGTGGTTGCTTCAGTCTCATTCATCATGTGGCCTCTAGAGATTATTGCTGAAGGGAATGTGAATTTTGACATGAAACAAGTTTTTCCATGCTGTTCTAGGAGAACATAGCATAATCTGAGAGTACTTTCTTATTCAATTTTTTCACTGGAGAACATAGAACATATTTTAGTGTGTCATGGGACATCTTTATACTAGTCTAATCTGAAACTGATAAGCTGCTAGATGCTACTTAGATACTTGTACCCTGTAATTAGTTATCCACTGTTAGATTATTGAAATATGTTGCACAATGCTTGCTCTAGAAAATGGCTCAGAAGCTCTAGTCATTTTAATAGAAGATTATTACTTGATAGAACTAATCTATATACTACTCACATTGTCATGATTTTTACCTGGACAAAATCGCATCACAAGGCAACAATTTTTGAACCAAGGTAACTCAAATCGACTAACTTATAGAAAGTGCCCAAAATCTGGGACCCATGACTCTTGAGAGAATGAAATTTGAGAAAGTTGTAGCTGCTTCAGTGCTACTGTCTATTGCTGTGCTGCTGCTGCTGCTCCAGTCACATAATCTTCATGTTCCATGTTTTATGACAGTTTCCCAGCCAATCTGGCAATCCTTTATTCCCCACCTAGCAGCAGCCATTTACTTGCCTGGTGGAAAGGGAAGGGAAATCAACACATCCAGATAGTCTTCCCAACCTACATGGCACCTCTTATACACCCATGTACCATTCCTCACCGCACCACCCACACTTCCCCCCCTACCCAGCACTGGGCTTAGATTTGTAACTTCCTGTTGCAACTTCCCCACTGATGGGAGGAAGGGAGAGAGGAAGGAAGGAAGGAAGGAAGGAAGTAAGGAAGAAGGAAGGCTTCCCACAAAGAAACTCAGTTGTTCCTGTTCCCACTGCTTTTTTGGCTACCCATGTTCATTCTGTTTCTCTGTCTGGGTAGGGAAATATATCTGAACCAATGACCCATTGTGAAATGAATTGTATGGGGAATGGGTTATCTACTACCTGTACATCAGACACAAACTGAGCAATATGGTAAATCTAGTACAAATGCAGTGAGCCATGTACAGATCTGTACATTGGGGAAATGAAACAACAACTTCATAAACGTATGACACAACATAGGAAAACAAACCCATTAGGACAAGAGTCAGCAGTCCATTTGTATTTAAAAGACAAAGACCACTCTTTCAAAGACAGCAAAGTCCACATTTTGGACAGAGAACTGGTTTGAAAGAGGGGTCAAAGAGGCCATCTATGTCAAAATTGAACAGTCTTCTCTCAACAGAGGGAGAGGGATCTGACATCAGCTATCTCCAGTCTACAACACAGTCCTTTTAACAATTCCAAGAAGGCTCCACACCCATTTGCACTATCCAGGTGACCCTGAAGACACAGAAAAGCCTCCATGGAGCTTTAATGACTCCTAAAAGAATGCAAATGAATAACTGTCTGCAGGAGTATAAATCTTTCCATTCCCCACCATCCAGTCAGAACTGAAGAAGCTTCTTGGATGAGAAGCGAAACGTCTTCAAAGAAAAACAAAGTCCAGTTGCCTTGTGAAAAAGCATCTTTGGAATAATTATGACCTGGATGACTGAGAATCTCCATAGACATTTACTACCTGTACATGTTCATTTTCCCCACTAAATTTAATTATTGATGTGAGTACATCAGAAATCGCTGGTCATTAGGCTCAAAATGCCAACACTTGATATTTGCAGAAGAGTGATAACATTTCAGTAGATAAAATAGAATCAATACTACACAGTTATTAATATCTTGGGACTGGAATTAGTGGATTATGTGTAATGAAAAGATGGTTATCTGATATCAGAAGGATATTTTTCTTACCCTTTTGATGCACATATATAAGCATATATGGGCAAGGGATATAGCTGAGCCTCAGCATCCCGGAAGCTACACATACAGTTC